AAGGGTCTTGTTTCTTTACAGCCTCACCAACAGAGTGTATATCAACCTCTGGACTTGGGCCAACATGAAGTGAAAAATGGTATTTCAGAGTAGAGAAAATTTGCATTTCCCTCGCCACAAATGAGGCAGAATATATTTCCATGTGTTTAAGAGTGATTTATGGGCCCTTGTTGAGTAGCTCAATTTGGTTAAAGCCTCATCCCAATACGCCAAGGTTTAGATTGTGGTTTCGATTCCTGCTCAGGACACATACAAGAATTAACCAATGGCCAGGCCGTTGAGGGTCAGCCCATGAACCAGGAAGTCAGGGTTCAATTCCTGGTCAGGGCACATACCTGTGTTTTAAGCTCGATCCCCAGTAGGGGGTGTGCAGGAGACAGCCAATCAATTGTTCTTTATCATCATTGCTGTTTCTATCCCTCTCTCACTCTCCCTTCCCCTTTCTGGAATCAATTTTTTAAAACGAGCTATTTATAGTTCTTCCCTGCCAATTATTCTTTTGGATTGTTGATCTTTTTCTTCTTGATTTGTAGGAGTTCTTTATATATTCAGGAGATTGACCATCTGGTTATGAAATGAGTTGTAAATATTTTTCCTAGTTTGTCATTTCTCCAAACTTTTGAATTAATGACCATGAGCATTTATTGAGGATTTGATGCATGCTCACTTTTGTACTAGGTTTTTTAATCACACATTTCAATCTTACTGACATAGCTTTTCATCTAATGTGTATAGAATGCATCTCTGAAAAATAAGGACATTTTTCTACATAATCACACAACTATTTTCACATCTAAGAAAACATACACTCATTCTTTAGTCCCATCTTATATCAGCACATATTCAAATTTCCCTGAGTCTCTGAAATTTCCTTTTAGTGTGCTTAGAGCACCACTGGCCAATAGACCTTTCTGTGGTGGCAGGAATGTCCCATTATCTGTGCTTTCTAATGTGGTAGCCATTAGCTACATGGAGCTGTTGAATGTTTGAAATGTCCAGTGAAAATGAGGAACTGAATTGTTCATTGCATTTTATTTTAGTTACTTTTAGGTTTTTTAAAATATATATTTATTGATTTCAGAGAGGAAGGGAGAGGGGGAGAGATAGAAACAACAATGATGAGAGAGAATCATTGATTGGCTGCCTCCTGCATGCCCCCAACTGGAGATCGAGTCCACAATTTGGACATGTGCCCTTGACCAGAATCGAGCCCGGGCCCTTCAGTCCACAGACCGATGCTCTAACCACTGAGAAAACTGGCTAGGGTATTACTTTTAGTTTTAATAGCCACGTGGAAAATTACAGGTCAGTATACCTGATGAACATAGATGCAAAAATCCACAACAAAATATTAGCAAACCGAATTCAACAGCACATTGAAAGGACCATACACCATGATCAAGTGGGATTAATCCCAGAGATACAAGGATGGTTTGACATCCACAAATCAATGTGATACATCACATTAGCAAAAATGAAGGATAAAAATTATATGATCATTTCAATAGATGCAAAAGAAGAAAACATTTGACAAAATTCAACATTTCTTTCATAATAAAAACACTCAACAAACTGGGTATAGAAGGAACGTACCTCAGCATAATAAAGGCCATATATGATAAGCCCACAGCTAACATACTCAGCAGTACAACAGTAAGCTTTTTAAAATATATATTTTTTTTATTGATTTCAGAAAGGAAGGGAGAGGGAGAGAGATAGAAACATCAATGATGAGAGAGAATCATTGATCGGCTGCCTCCTACATGCCCCCTACTGGGGATCGAGCCCGCAACCTGAGCATATGCCCTTGACTAGAATTGAACCCAGGACCCTTCAGTCCACAGGTCAATGCTCTATCCACTGAGCCAAATCAGCTAGGGTCTCAATACACATTCTTATCTGTGTGCAAAACTTTCAATGAATGTAAAAACTTGGAACACAACTGCCAAGTCAGAGTTCTCCCAATTCAACAGGGAGCTAATAACTGGTTTAAACAAGAGACAATGTTTACTTGTCTCGGCTGGTGGACAACCTGGGGACCGCAGGTCCTTCTGTCAGTCACCCCACCATCCTCTGGGGCAGTATTTCCAGAGGCATTTGGCTGTGTCTGCAGACAACGGTTCCACCTGTCAAGGGGGCGTGCCACTGGCAGTGCACAGGACAGCCCTCCTCCATAACAAATGATTTGGTTCCAAATGTCAATGCAGCCACCCGCCCTAGAACAGTCCCCACTCTTTTGTCACATGACTGATTTGTTGAGGGACCGGGACAGTTGTCCCATAGTGCAGCCCATCCTCTGGATTCGTCTGTTGCTTCCTGATGTTGTCATTTAACTTGTGTGGGGGTGTTTTTTTTTTGACCCCTTCCATTTCCTGCCAATTGGATGTTAGGTTGAGAGACTTGGTCAGAGCCAGGTTTTACATTTTGACAAGATGTGTCCGAGGGAAAGCTGCGAACTTCCTTTTTGCGTCACATTAAGAGGCCCACGAGGCCCTGGATCCATTGGATACTGAGCTTCATCAAAGCGAGTGCTGGTGACATTCTGGCCTCGGTGGCAAAGTGCATTCTCCTACACCCAGTGGGCCCTCTGGCACCCTGTGCATATCTTTTAAAATATATATATATTTTTTAATTGATTTCAGAGAAAAAAGAGAGAGACCTCAATGATGAGAATCATTGACTGGCTGCCTCCTGCATGCCCCCCACTGGGAATTGAACTCACAACCCAGGAATCAAACCCTGACCTCCAGGTTCATAGGTCGATGCTCAACCACTGAGCCACGCCCACCAGGCCCCTGTGCATAGCTTGTTCCCAGCATTCCCTCACATGAGGTTTTATAATCCCCATCATGGTCACTGTCTCAATCAATGATTTCATGGGCTTTTGCAAAATGATAATTTTTCTAATTCTATCTTTCCTTTTACATTTTCTTTTGCTGGCATTCTTCTTGGGCTTTTTGGTGACCGTGAAACACAGCTACTACTGGGAAGGGAAGACCGTGCTTGACTCCTTACTTTTATTTATTTTTAAACTTTTTTTCAGAGCCTCTCCCCCACGGGCCCCTCAGTGCCCTGGGTGGGCGGCTGCAGTCCTACAGCGACACCTGAAAAGCTCTCACCCTCATGGAAGTCACACTGGTTTTTTCTTTTTTAAATTTTGTAATTTTTTAAAAAAAATACGTATTTTATTGATTTTTTTTTTACAGAGAGGAAGGGAGAGTGATAGAGAGTTAGAAACATCCATGAGAGAGAAATATCGATCAGCTGCCTCCTGCACACCTCCTACTGGGGATGTGCCTGCAACCAAGGTACATGGCCTTGACCGGAATGGAACCCGGGACCCTTCAGTACACAGGCCGACGCTCTATCCACTGAGCCAAACCAGTCGGGGCCTGGGTTTTTTCTTAACTTCTTACTTTCAACTACCAATGTTTCCAGGAAGGAATTGATCGAGAACCACTTCGAATGGTACAATAAGTGTGTGTGTCTTTAATTTTCAAATTGAGGTTTAACATACATACATGCACAGATCTTGCCCGGCTGGAGTGGCTCAGTTGGCTGAGCATCGTCCTGTGCATTGAAAGGACAGTGCAGTTCCTGGCAAGGGCACATACCTGGGTTTCAAGTTCAATCCTGGTTGGGGCATGTCCGGAAGGCAACTGATGGATGCTTCTTACTCTCTCTCTCTCTTTTTTTTAAAAAAAAAAAAATATATGTTTTTATTTTTTACAGAGAGGAAGGGAGGGGGATAGAGAGCCAGAAACATCGATGAGAGAGAAACATTGATCAGCTGCCCCCTGCACGCCCCCCACTGGGGATGTGCCCGCAACCAAGGTACATGCCCCCGACCGGAATCGAACCTGGGACCCTTGAGTCCGCAGGCCGATGCTCTATCCACTGAGCCAAACCGGTTCTGGCTACTCTCTCTCCTTTTCTCCCTTTCTCCAAGCATGTCCTCTGGTGAGGATTAAAATAAATAAATGAATGCACAGATCTTTAATGAAAAGCTAAGGACATTTTTAGATCTGTACATCCATGCAACTATCATTAGATTAAAATATAGAACATTTCTAGCCCCAAGTTGGCTTTCCTGCCATGAAGACTTATAATGAACTGTGCCCTCTTGCAACCCGGGACCCCTGGAGGATGTCGGAGAGCGGGTTTTGGCCCGATCCCCACAGGCCAGGCCAAGAGACCCCACTGGTACACAATTGGCTGGGGAGGAACTGCGGGAGGGCTCCAGGGCATGTCCAGCCTGTCTTGCCCAGTCCTGATCGGCCAGGACCCCAGCAGCAAGCTAACCTACTGGTGGGAGTATCTGCCCCCTGGTGGTTAGTGCATGTCATAGTGACTGGTGGAACGGTCGAACGGGTCAGACACTTAGCATATTGGGCTTTTATTATATAGGATATTTGTGACTGCAGAAATTATTTCCAGGCAGGGTGGTGCCCATCTTGGGGTTCATAGAGTTCAGGAAGATGGGAAAATTGGTGAGAGGTGGAAACAGGGCTTCTAGGTCCCCCCTCCCACCTGGTTGACCCTAGGAGCCGACTCCTCTCACAGAAGCAACTGCAGGGGCTGGACAACTTGCTTTGCCAACTGGGATGGATCCCAGGTACCTCCCGCCTGGAAGACTAGTATGGGGGGAATTGTGTGGTCTGAGGCTGAGCTGGCATTTCCAGGCAGACTGGGGTTGCCACTTCTCCTCTTCCATCCAGGGGCACACCAGGGGCAGCAAAGCACTTTGGAAAGTCCCAGAAAATGAGACAGGCTGTCTGGGCTCTGGTGCCTCCAGCTTTGAGACTCTGGGGAGCCACAGCTTTCAACCTCTGAGCCTCTGCTCACCTGTGCAGGCCTATTGGGAGGGTTTCATCTAGCTACATTACCTCTCTGACCTCACCTGCTGGGGCTTTCCTCTTGGCTCATTTTGCTTCAGCCAGATGTTTGCTCAAGCAACCTCAGTACTTGAGTTCTGGCTAAGAAAGCACTCAGAGCCAAGATTCAAATACAAGGAAAAGTTTATTTAGCAAGTCACAGATGTTGAACAAGTGAGCCTCGAAGAAGTGAGCTGCATGCGCTCAGGGAACAAGTTACAAAGCCAAAAGGGCCCTTGGAGCTTAGGAGAGAGAGGAAAGGAAAAGGAGCCTGGGGGGAGGCGGTGGGGGAAGACACAGGAGTGCTCCATAGAGAGTTGCCTACTGCCCCCGTCTGGGTCTTGAGGGTGTTTATCTGGAGGTCTCAGGGGAGGATCCCAATAGAACAGTCATCAGCTTTCCAGGCGTGGACTTTCAGGGTCCTGGTCTCTACTCATTGGCTGGCCCCAGGGCAGGGGGTCATCAGTCCATGCTGTGGGTCCTGAGTCAGCCAAGGCATGCTTGTAGCTTGTCTTGTTTTGCTGCTTTTCTAGGCCTGGAGCTGAAACACAACTAAGGTCTAGATGTATTTGATGCCAGTGGCAACCTCATTGTCCTGGGGGCTTAACGATTAAGGGCTATTTTCCAGCTCCCTTGTTCATCCCCTCCCCCTGCCCCCCAGGGGATCTAACCCTCATGACTAGCAACATGCCAGAGGAGGAAAGGTCAGGGAAGGGTCCAAACCACGAGACGAGCAGTAGGAAAGGTCAGGGGGCCTACACCTGCATGAAGTGTGATATACCAGGGGAGGAAAGGTTATCCTGTGGGGAGGTCCTTGTTTTCCCAGTTTTGCTGGTTGCTAGGCACTTGAGGCTTTCAGCCCTGGTGACCCTCTGTACCTGGCCTATCACCCTTGCTCTGCCCAAGCCTGTCTAACTGCCTAACAACCCTGCTCAGGTGACATAGGCTACAGCATCCTCTCTCTCTTCCCGCACACCCGCTGTTTCTCCTACAGCCTTTATAAACTAACTTTATGTACTAGTTTCACTGATAACTGTGTCTCCCCTGATAGAATGCGAACTCCAAGTACTTATCTGCTTTCACTTCACAGCCTGCGCCTTGCAAGGAGGAAGTGTAACACTGGTTGAACTAGGAAACAAAACCCACTTTTTGTCCCACAACAGAACTAGAATTGGGACCTCGGGCTCTAAGCCTTTGCCTTCTTTTTCCTCCTCCTTTTATCTCAAAAAAGACTAGGGCACAAAATTTAATGGGGTGTCAAAAACTCAAATTATTGTTTTCAAAAATCAAGATTAATGCAAAAAAGATGATCAAAATATATATTTTTAAAGTAAGACATGAGCTGACCCTGCACTTGCATGACTCATCTCACCCTAATCCTAGTAGTTTTTATTTAAAGTTTTTGTATTTTGTTCATCATGGATTTATTTTTCCCATTAATTTTGATATTTATTTTAAATATTTTTTTTTATTTCAGAAAGGAAGAGGGAGGGAGAAAGAGAGAGACAGATGACGAGAATCATCCATCAGCCTCCTGCACGCCTCATACTGGGATTCGAACCCGCAACCGGGCATGTGCTCTAACCGGGAACTGAACCATGCCAGCCAGGCTAATTTTGAACTTTTACGTGATGGTTGAGTTGTTGCACCCAAAGGGCTCACCATTCTGTCTTTTCTTCTCTCTCCTGGGGAAAACCGACACCGACGCCAGGGCGGTGCGGAGCTCTGCTAAGCGGCCGAGCTCCCCCCCACCCGCGCCCGCTCGCCCCGGTGAAGAAGGGGCGGGAGCTGACCTTTCTTATCACCCGCGTGGAAACATCCAATTAAGTCCCCCGCCCGCAGGAGACCTTTCCCAGGGCGGCCCGCGCCTCCCGAGGCGCTGAGATAGCCGTGGTAGCCACGGCCTCGGTGACCTTTAAGGGGCTGGGAGGAGGGAGCGGGTAAGGCGGCCACGCGTCTGGCCGGTCTGGGCGGAGATGCCACGGTTTGGGTCGCTCCCGGGCTGGTATCGGGCTGGGCGCTGGGACCTGGGATTGAACCTGGCCTCGGTTCCCCAAGTCTATCTCATCGTCACAGGGCGAGGGGGGGAGGG